TTTTCACTACATGCACTGGTAAAGAAAGAAACTCCAGCCAGGGAACAATAAAAAATTCTTTCATTGACACCAGGGAAATAACACATCTAGAAATGGACCTTCTGCCTCTTCTTCTTGAGGAAATCCCCTTTTGAAAAAAGACTCAAGGCCTCTGGGGTTGATTTCCAGGATCTCTCTTTAGTTGTAGAGTGATGGCAGCTGCTTTTGTAAGAATGAAGCCAGACCTGAAAGGTATTTCTCTTTTTGCTACTCTTACTGGAAGTAGCTGAAGAGACATAAATGGAGCCTGACAGAGATTAAGCTGTCAGTTCTGATAATCAGTTCAGATAATCTATCTGTTATAGCTGACTTGTATTATGTTGATTGTTTCCATGTGGATATTTAAGTATATTTGAAACTATATAATTTGATTTGGAGTAGTTGTTGTTGTTGTTGTAAAACAGACAAGGAGCACATTTCCTTTACTTCCCTGCCACTTTCTCAAGAGCAACTCTTGTCTGATCTCACACTCAATCAAATATCCTATTAAGAAATTCTCAAATTATATCTGTTCACCAGAATGATACTTTTACAAAATCATGTTTAATTATGTGTAGGTAATTCTTTATAAATACATATTAAAACACAAAGAAATACTCCCACTTTCAGTTAATAAAGTACACACTATGACATCAGTTCTCTATATAGCAAGTTCACCTAATGGAAGTTGGTGTAGGCCTCCAAAAAGGGTGTGAAGACAATCCTGAGCATTGATTCCAAAACCGCTACAGTTAGAGGGAAAAGCAAACCTCTGCTGTATTCCGTGTCAGTAATGAGTCTCAAATTGCAGCCTAAATGAAAATATAGATTCAGATCTGAACTGTGACATGTAATGCTTTCACATTGTCAACTTTTATTTTTTCTCTTCATAGCTGGTCATCCAGGTAGCCATCTTTTCCCTCTTATCTCATCTGTGTCAGCCATCAAAGCCTGAGTATGTTTAAATAACAGATTAAAGAACTTTCTTGAAACATTAACAATTCCCTTCTATCTTTTTTATAATATCCTGCATTTCTCTAGTTCTATTATTTTTATTATTAGACACTCACATAAAACAGGATTTCTCACTCATTATCTCCTTCAGCTTTATTTCACACCTCAAATCATAATCCATTTCACCTGGGTAAGAATTATATACTGAATGCCTTTACCTCCAGTTTCCCAGGAGGCTAAAAATATTTTATATCAGTGTTTTTCAAGCCAGTGAACAACTGTGTTTTCTGGAAACTATTTCAGGAAAGCAGAAAACACCTCAACTTAAAAAAGAAGAAATGCTCCCTGATTACAACTGCAATTCAATAATTAATTTTTGTTTCTGATGTGATGCTTCTGCTTTACAGAAAATATTATGAACAATTAAGAGGCACAGAGCCCTTTCGTCACCATTTTTTTAATCAGCCATAGTGTTGTAACACCTAGAGCAGACAGTGGTGTTGCATTGTGGTAGATGTTGTCATTTCATTTGACTGGCAGTAGATGAGCTATCACAGCAAGCACAGCTGTGGCAGAAACAGCCGCTGCTATGCAAATAACCCTAATAAAAATGGAAATAAGACAGGCAGAAGATCAGTTTCTTAGTAAGATTGTTCTGGAGTGCTCTTCAAAAACCCATCTATCTTTACTAATAGGGCCTTGCATTCATTTCTGATGACAAATAAGAATTGCATAATATGGGAACAACAGAAACTTAATGCAATTGACAGACTAGCAGTGAAATAGGAGGCATATTGTCCATTTAGAGAATGTGGTTGCAGGTGGGTACAAATTGTAACTTGATAGATGTATCCAGATCTTCTGTTCGTGCTAATCCCTCTGGGTCACTGAAATATGCCTAGCCAGTATGATGTGACAATTAGGAGCTTTAAAGATAATGGATTCTACATCTACTTTGCCCTTCAAACTGCTGTGCTCATGTAACCATCTTAACTGTGCTCTTCCCTCATTCAACATTACTCTGAGAGTTGCACAGTAAAGCTGATCAATAGACATGGTCTGTTGCACAATAATTTTACATCAGGAAATACGTGCCTCTGCAGAGATGTTCAAGTTTTCTTTGGCAGAAAGATTATAAGGGATTTTTTTTTGTTTCTTTAGTACTGATTTGCTCTTTTGCTTAATAAAATATCCTATTTTGCAAAGACAGTAACATAAGCAAAGAAGAGGAAGCAAAAGAATCATACTCCCAATCTGCTAATATAATCCTATGCTGTTAAAAAATAAAGTATTAATTCCCAAGGTTGTACAATATATTACAAATGCATAGAATGGATGACAAATAACATCTTCAGAAATGGTTGCCTGAGGCTTAAAATCAAGTAGCTCAGGAAAACAGAAATATAACATACCCATAAATCACTCCTTCAGGGTAACCTTTCCCTGTTCCCAGTCTTTAAGTTAGCAGAGGAGCCGAAGGTGGGCATCAGTGATAGATGTGATTGTTTTATGCTTCCTGACGACAATCTTAAGCTGTACCATATGTATTTATGGGACAGCTATTATCAGGACTATGTTTATTTATTCTTTCAACTTCTATATTTGATACTTGCTTTTAATTGCTCTTGTCAGTTTACCATATTTATAGAGAGTAAGAGTTAAGTTACAATAAATTAATTAATTACAAATAAATTAATTACAATAAATTAAGTAAGTTACAATAAATTGTAAGTTGTCAGGTATTTAAAACTTATCTTATTACATAACAAATATCAAACTATAATCATTGACTTCTGCTATTTTTTCTTTTTATATGTCTTCATTATGAAAAAGTCCAGTGAGTCCTATGATCAAGCTTTTGACATTTACAGGCAGAATACAGATAATTTTCTGTTACCAAACTTAATTTCTCGTTTAGTTGTATCCAATTGAAATAGTAAGAGGACACTTAAAACTCTATTTTCAACCACATACATGACTGCAAATGAGGCAAATGAGGCAAATGTGAGGTGTTGCAGATTTAGATCTCTAGAAACAAGACCTGGGTCAGTAACTGATTTTATTTGGGCCTCTGGGAATATTATCATGCCTTTCAGTCACTGTGCATATTGAAACAAGTATCCTAAACATGAAAGGTTGTATCATGGACCACCTGAGCTGCCCAGTTCTTGCAGCCCCTTAATTCTCCAAGAATGCCTAAAAAAATTTCAGAATGGGAATATTTAAACATGGCAAAGAAACTAGCACTTGGGCATGGGGTTATGTGGGAAGCAGCTGGGTGGACTTTGATTTTGTAGTGCTATGAACCTGCATAAAAATTCAGCTCAGAAATAACGAGTGCAAAGACTAAACCTCCTATCTATATCATGGTTTCATCTATGTGGTTACATGACTACGTTGCTAGTACAACTGCCAGCTCAGCAATTCAAAGGAATAAGAACTGGTTTCCTTGCAGAGCTTTGCCTGCATTGAGGGTATATTAAATGAGTGCAGCGTAAACAGTATATCATGCTTTCTCTTTCATTTTGTGTTTCTTCCATTTTTTTCTTTTCACATCACAGTGTACAGTGCATTGTTTTCCTCTCTGTTTTAGGAGTTGTCGTTTTATTTCCCTTCACTCTTTTATTTATCTTTTACACTGCAGTATTTTCTCTGTTGCATGTCCCATTTTCTCTCATGCACCTTGCTCAGCCTCCTCCAAAGTCCTGTCCAATTAGAATGGCCAGAAAGTGCTGGTTTTAGCTGGATACAAGCAGGCTGGCTGAGGCAGAGAGTCAACTCTAGTCTCACCAGCGTAATGCAGTGTGGCAATGTGGGAATACCCAGTCTCCACAGACTCGACAAAATCAGGCCACACTGTCTTTTGTACTATCTGCAGAACTGGCTTCAAGAGTACTGGACAATAGTTCATGTCTCTCTTGCTAACCAAACACTTTAAAGGCTTTTTGTTTCCTGTTTCACAGAAGTTCAACATGTTAAATTTTAAAAACAAAACAAATGGAAAAGTGTATCTTCAAAAAGTCACATTAGCTATGTGGTCAATTTGCTTTTCCACTTCAAAAATCAGTGCATGGGGTTCACAGATTACTGACTTGCACCACTAAACAAAAAAAAGTTTACCATTTTCTGGATTAAACCCTTCACTACTGTTCAAGCAACCAGATCCCTGTACAGACAACTTAGAGGAAATAATATTAACACCCCCTTATCTCTGAAAAGTGTAAAAAGCTCTCCTTAAAAGCTGTAAATGTCAGGGGAATAATTGATTCTGGAAGTGGAATCTAAGGAAATTAATCTAAGATGTGAGTAGTAGAAAAATTAAGCAATGGAAAGTATGATGGCCTAAAAGTGAGGCCAAGGCAGTTTAAGATGCATCTGTACTTCCTTTTGAGTTCAGCTGGAGAGCTGGCTGGGAAACTGCTGCACTGGAAAATAATGATGAGGTCAATAAAAAGGATGGAAAATGTATAGATGAGTGTTGCTGTAGGTGTTACAGACTTCCAAAGAATCTAGCTGGTAGGCCTCACTGTGAGAAAGTGGCAGTTTTGGGAGAGTGATGAGAGACAGTTATGCCACAAGAGGATGCACTGGGATAAGAAGACTGACTGTATGGATAAAGGCATTATATAAAGCATATGATAACTTCACAGTGAATGGTACTATTTGAAATAACTTCAATATCTCCTTGTAGAAATGTGGTCTCAATGATTTCCTTGTATTCCCTCCACCTGACACCAAGAGGGGAATGAAACTTCACAAATATGATGTTGCAAGTGTTTCTATCCGTATCTGGATTTTTCCATGCATTGGCCAGACAATCATTTATTTGTGTGCACATCAACCTATGAGACACGGTGATCATAACCCTTCCTTTAAGTATCCATGGTATCATAGGTGATACTCCAGTATCACCACTTTCTAGTCAAGAATGACATGTGCAGCAAGTGTTCTGCTGCAATCATGACACACATCATTGTCCTGTGTGCTTACAGTTTTTATTATTCTCTGAAAATATCTAAGAAAATAACCAGGTATAAAATGAAATCTTACCTATAACTTTTCCTAGGAATAGTGCCTTTGGGGAATTGAACTGAATGTCAGACGCTGTTGGCAGGCTGTAACTTGTTGGAGGATAGTGATCAAGCTGAGGGAAGAGAAAAGAAATGATGAGTATTTTGAACTGATCTGCCTTCTGACAGTGCTACTGAATCAGGTCTACTTTATAAAGTTTATGCCCCCACTTACAGCTCTGTCTGATGTACTCTCATTCTGATAAAGGGGAAATAACAGTTAATACCCCTCCTTCCATATGTGCGATTTCCAAAGTTTCCAAGGCCTGAAAAATACCTAGATTGGACATTTGTTCTGGTTACTGTAGAGTAATTTCATCTTTTGCTTGTGTGCAATATAATTGCTAAAAATAACAACAGCATCAACATCAACAATAAAACAGCTTATTATTTTAATGCAAGATTTCCATTTGGGACCTATGTTACTGCTAAAACTAGATTTACATGCTTTGCCCACAGGAAAATAGCTGAGAATTTGAGACTAATGCAGGTGTTGGTCTCCTCTTCCCTCAGAAAAGTAATAAATTAATAAGACATACATTTTTGCATTTAATTTTTATTATTTTCTTGTTAAAAATATTGTTCAACTACATTTGTGATAGCACCTAGTGAAATCTAAGGAATATATTAATGAGCAATCAACTTCGCTAAATAGTTTAATCTATAGAAAACTCATATTGTCCCTGATATGGCACAAGAATCACATTATATTAGCATATTTTTTCCTGTTTTTCAACTATTTGAGAGAAAAATGTGAAGAGAGAGGAAGAAAACAAATTGCCTATGCTTAGCAACAACACTACTAAGATAGTTCAATACAGCTCAGTAGAGTTTTGAAGTTCACATTTCATAAAGGTAATCGGGATGAATTTTTTATCTTTGCTGTTGTTATTTATTTTCTTGGTTTTATGATTTTATTACACAGACTTAAACAGGGCAGAACAACAATTTTTTATTTTATTCTGGCCTTAACTTAGCACAAAACAAGACAGAAATTCATATATGTGATTTAAGACTTTGCAGGGTAGTATAGATTGCAGAAGTAATTCTGCAGAATTTTTTCACATATCTCTTTGCAATATTTCTAATTTCAAAATATTATTATCTTGGATTAGTTTGCTGTAAAGGTACTGCAAATGTTCAATTCAGTGATTAAAAGGAAATGAATGGCCGATGGCATAGAACTGAATGGCTGAATCCCATTACAACCTGGAATTCTGTGACGTCATTACTTGGAAAGCCTACTAATGTCATACCCATGAATCTGCAAAGGCAATCATCTCAAAAACTATGAAAACTGGAAAAGAGGGCTCCTGTCTTTCTTGTATTGCCCCATAAAACCCCAACAAGAGAAGTGTATATACATAACAGAAAGGGAAAAAGTTCCCTGCAGATGCCAAAAAAGGTCGAGCAAATGCTCATGTTCAGAAATTATTTTTCTGATAATTGATCATAACTAGTTTGCACAATGATTATTTAAAATTTGGCCATCGACGTTTATCAGCATGACTACTGGCTAGCTCCCAATTTTAGACTGTAGATTTTCAAGTTAAATATATGGAAACACATAGTGCCATCTTCTTACTTGTAAAGTAAGAAGTTTCAGTTTGTTCACAGTCTCTTAAACAGCTTTTCTCAGATTTTTAATAGCAGAAATACATCTTTTACCTTTTTACATATTTTACTTACATAATTTAAGATAAAAAAGGGTTATTTTTGAAAGGGTGTAGTCAAGTGAATACAAAGAGTCAAAATACGAAACAGTTCCCAACCATAACCACAGCAGGTGCTACTAAGTATAAACTTAGTTAAGTGCTTGCTATTGGTTTCCCTGGTGGAAGGGAAGTCACCATTCCGGCACCCAGTATCACAAGTGTCAGACCTGTTGTCAATGGGAGCTGCAGGCATATCAAGGGAACAAAATATTCCCTTCTTACTTCAGAAGGCAAATGGGAATGGCTCAGAGTTGTCATGGTATTTTCCAGCATGGTTATTAAACTGAAGTTATAGACTTTAGAAAAGCATATCAGGAAAAAATTGCTGAAAAGACTGATATACAAAACCCTGATTCTCCAGCCTCTCATATGCCAAGACTTTAACCTCATGTAACTTCTTTGCCTGCAGTGGAATTACTTCCGATACATTCTGTTTGCACAGGATTAATCTTCTAGGTTCTCCTTTTATATGTGTATTGTAAAATATGCTGAAGTAACTCGGATATAATAATCTGGTGTACTACCATGTTTGTCAACATTATCAACACTTAAATCCTTCCTTTTCCAAAACCAATCTGGAGCAATGTTTAAATATTTCTTTTTGTTGTGTCTTGGAATCTGAGCAGTGGGGTTGATCAGATAATCACTAATCTGATGATAAGATACTAATAAATTATAATAGTTATTATCAATCTATAATTTCATTTATCAGTGTATTGTGGGTATCCTAGAGCTGTAGCCATGGTCCAGGTGTCCATTTTCAGAGTAACTGTTAGGAAATGTAACTAAAAAGTCATCCCTGCCTAATGTACTGGCAGCCTCTACCTGACAGTGCTAATTGTGTCTGCAGGACATACCTGAAAATGAAAAGGCAATTTAAATGATGAATCACTGTGAGCATTTACATGCACAAATACAGAATATCAAATCCTGCCAGCTGTGGTGTGGTGAAACTCCCTTTGTCTTCAGCTGGTGTTCAGGATGTGCAAAGGCTGGTCCAGAATGGATTAAAAGAGAGTCAGTATATCAGCTCTGTAAAGGTATAGTTTGTTTCTTTACAGTACAGGTTCCCTGCAAGGCTGCCTTTTGACCATACAGTACAGTAACAGCTTTGAGGTCTAGGTTTTTATTTTTAAGCTGCTCTGTAATTTGGTCATGGAATACCTAATATATCACCCCATGACCCAAAGCTTAGGTTTTGTAGTATTCAAACATGCTTTATTTGCTAAGAAGCTCTTCTGAGGCTATGGCAGAAAATCTTTCAGGAACCAAAGAACATTGCAAACCTCATATTGTTCTGCTACACGTAATTCTTCAACTTTGTCTTTCCTGGCAAAAACACATAATGGCACACACATTTAAAATAAGTAAAAATATACCATTACACTATGACTACGATCCCAAAATAGCGATGACTATGATCCCAAAATAATGATACTGTATTTCACCAAATCCCTCAGACTGGTCTGTGGTCATAGGTTGCACATCTCTGGAAATGGGGATGCCAGTGTTTTGGCAGAGGAACAAAGGGCAGGGAACTGGCAGTCTTGCCCTCTTCCTCTCCCCCCTTTTTTTCTGATTCCTCTGGGAAATCCCTGCACAAGAACAGCACGGAGGCAGAGGCAGACCCATGTGCATACCTTTACACTAGAGTCTGCCAGTGGGACTTCTGTGGCAAAACTCAAAGGCAGAGGCTGCGTCTGGGCGTGCAGGGCACTGCTGGCAGTGAAAACACACAGCTTTCTGTTGCAGCCAAAAAGGAGTCAAAGACATGGGCAGGTGTGACCCCTCTTCCCCCCACTTTAGAACATGTTAGTTAGTGGTGGTTTTGGCCAGATAAAAAAAAAGATATAAAACTTTCCATTGACCTTGTCTCCCCTTGGGCCTTCAGTGTGGCAGAGCACACCATCATGGTGCAGAGGCAAAAGATCCTGCTGTGCGTGGGAGCCCGGGATAGCAACAAGTAGACTCTAATGCTGTGTTGCATTGCAGTCTCTAACAGATACAGCCTATTTACTGCCTAGGAGTATTAAACTGACCTCTTGTATTGAATAAATAACTGAATCTATTTACTCACATATATTTTCCGGATCTCACTGGAAAGGAAAGATTTCAGAATGGGTTCAGCTATGAACTCTTTTAAGGGCTTAAGAATTCTGTTTGAAGCTTTGGGTGGTTTTGATTCCTGGTTGAAGTAAATCTCCATTTAAAAACAGTTGATACTGGTTTCATGCCCTTGCCATCAATAGGGGCAAGCATTTTTGATTAGCGATAGAGCCAGCTTCCACTCCACTGCCAGCTCTGGCATCTCCTGTCCCATGGAGGACGACTGCATTGTGTTCCACGGCCAGCTTTGAGCTACGCCTTTCTCTAATCCTGCTACCCGAAAAGAAATGGTGCACCACAAGACAACAGTGAGGGAATAGTGAGATTTTTGTCCGATGACTTTTATTGCTTGTCTTTGTTCTAAACTAGCAAAATCTAATAAAAGAGAACTTTTTTTTAGAGGCACTTAACCTAGGATTTTTTTTTAGGTCAGCGAGTGAAAGGACCGAGCTGAATTGTTTCCAAAGTTGTATGTGACTGCCATCCAGTGGGTACTCAAGTGTAAGCAGCTGGAACAGAGCAGCCTGCAGTCTTTGTACGAAATACTAGGCTATGAATTTAATATAAGACACATAATAAAAAAGGAATTACTAGCATCAAATGATATTTGAACAAAATTACATTATTTAGTGAAAATTAAATAAAGGCTCTGCATACACAGAGGTTGATGTCATGAATTTGTATTAAATTACAGTTTTAGAATTATATTTAAGATTTTTCATTACAGCTACTTTTCTTTAAAAACTCATTAATTTCTTTTGACCTTAATATAAACACAGTGTGGCTTTGAGCACTACACAGATGAAAGTAGATGGCAGTTCTGAGGAACTTGCAGTTTCAGTTCTCAAATCACATCACACCAGGCAGACTGTCTTTATCTGAAGTTGCTGGGATTTAAGAAGTTCAATAAAATGCTATTTCTTTTAAATTACTGTTCACCTAGATAATCAAACTAATCTTGACAGGAGTCCTGAGATTAACAGACATATAAATCTAAGGGCAAATATAATGCCTGTATCACCTTAGTAGTCTCGGAAAAAAAGATATTAAAAATAAAAATATAAGGTATATTTACATATGCACACATTATATTCACCCTGTGGATATACCTACATCTGTATCATTGTCAATCCAGCCTCTGTGTGTGTACTACTATAAAGCTAAGGTTTTTCTTTATGCTGAAGAAATTTTATTAAATAAATTTCAAAACACTATGGAATAATGATGTTGTAAGGCTTAATCTTGCACCTTCT